GATTATAGGAAGTTAAATGATGTGACTAAAAATGACAGCTATCCGTTACCGAGGATTGATGACATCATGGACACCCTATCTGGCTCAAGTTGGTTCTCTACGCTTGATTTGAAAAGCGGATACTGGCAAGTAGAAATCGACAAGAACGATCGCGAAAAGACAGCGTTTTCTATCGGATCGGGGTTGTGGCAATTCATCGTCATGCCATTTGGATTGTGCAATGCACCAGCTACATTCGAGCGACTGATGGAATGTGTATTGCAAGGTCTTAACTGGAAAACCTGTCTTGTCTATTTAGACGACATAATTGTTCTAGGAAGAACATTTGATCAACACGTCGAAAACTTACGGGAGATCTTCACAAGACTTCGGGTGGCAAATTTAAAGCTGAACGTTAAAAAGTGCAGATTATTTTCTAAAGAAGTTGACTATTTGGGACATGTGGTATCTTCAGATGGAGTTCGAACCGATCCCAGCAAGATAAAAATTGTGAAAGACTGGCCAACTCCAAAGGATAAAAATGAATTGCGCAGTTTTCTGGGATTGGCAACGTACTATCGACGTTTTGTAAAGGATTTTGCAAAAGTTGCCAGACCTCTCCACCAACTTACCGAGAAGGACAGAGTTTTCAACTGGAATACCCTATGCGACTCAGCATTTGAAAAGTTAAAAGTTGAACTATGTGATGCTCCTTTGCTAGCATATCCAGTTCGTGGCAAGACGTTTGCGTTAGATACTGATGCAAGTAACAACGGAATCGGAGCCGTTTTGTCACAGCATATAGACGGAGAAGAAAAGGTGCTAGCGTATTATAGCAGAGGATTCACAAAGCCCGAACGAAACCAGGAAGGAGTTACTAGCAATATTCAATGCAACAAAACACTTCCACAAGTACCTTTATGGACAGAAATTTCTTCTCCGAACTGATCATGCAGCGTTAAGATGGCTCCTCAACTTCAAGGATCTTGAAGGACAGATGGCCCAGATGGTTGGAGCGTTTACAAATGTACGACTTCGAGATCGTGCACCGCAAAGGAACAACTCATAGTAATGCTGATGATCTCTCACGTCGACCATGTTTACCAGGATGCAAATATTGCTTTCATCACAAGAAGAAGATACAATCGGAAGACATAAGAGCAACAACAATATCAGCGAATGACGGTTGGACACCGACGGATCTTGCTGATGCACAGTTTGCGGATGAGGACCTACAACATCTGATCACATGGAAGAAGGAGGGCAAGCGACCGGACTGGCAAAGCATCTCAGAATATAGTGCCGTGTTAAAGGGTTATTGGGCTCAGTGGGACTCATTGTATTTGGAAGTGGATTTGCTGAAACGAAAATGGGAATCAGCCGATGGATCAAAACACCGCATGCAAGCTGTAATACCAAGAAGTAGAACGACCAAAATTTTTGATGAAATGCATGGCGGCCCTTCTGGGGGACATTTAGGAGTGAACAAGACCCTTGACAAAATCCGAGAAGAATTCTACTGGCTTCACGTTAGAGAAGATGTAGAAAGCTGGTGTCGAAAATGTAACACATGCACTTCAGTCAAAGGACCCAAAAGAAGGCATAAAGGAGCAATGCAAATCTACAAAGTTGGTGTTCCCTTTGAACGGATTGCTATAGATATTGCGGGACCCTTTCCGGTATCAGATTATGGAAACCGTTACATTCTGGTTGTAGCTGACTATTTCAGCAAATGGCCTGAGGTGTTTTCAATACCCAACCAAGAAGCATGTACCGTCGCTGAGGAAATTGTACTCAATTGGATTAGTCGATATGATGTCCCATTGGAACTCCACTCAGATCAAGGTCGAAATTTTGAGTCACAACTGTTTGGTGAAATGTGCAAGCTGCTGGGTATAAACAAAACTCGAACGACACCTCTTCACCCACAGTCTGACGGTATGGTGGAACGATTTAACCAAACCCTGATTGAACATCTGGCTAAAGTAGTCGACGAAAATCAACAAGATTGGGATCATCATATACCATTGTTTCTTATGGCATACCGGAGTGCTATCCACACAACCACTGGAGAAACGCCATCAAAAGTTCTGTTTGGGACTACGTTAAGAACTCCAGCTGATGTGAAATATGGCGTACTACCTGAACCACACCAAATATTAACAGAATACGTGGATAATCTTCGACAGCGATTAAACCATATCCACCGTTACGTACGCCTTAAAATTATGAAAAACACGGAGGCGGCCAAAACCAGATACGACTTGAAAGGAAGCAGTGGCGGTTTTGCTGTCGACGAGTTAGTTTGGCTGTACAACCCACAGCGAAAGAAAGGACGTTCTCCAAAGCTCCAGCGAGGGTGGGAAGGACCTTATCAAGTCATCACCCGATTGAATGACGTCGTCTACCGTATTCAAGAATATCGGAAGCCGAGAGCAAAAATGAAGATCGTTCATTTGGATAGGCTGGCTTCGTACCATGCGGACACCGGAACGAAAGCTGTTCAGGACGAACAGAACTAAGAAGGGGGTAATGTTATAACCGTGATACCGAACGCACTAGATTCTAGCGTATTCTGGAATGTTCTAGTGACTGGAGCATTCTAGAGTATGCTAGAATCGGACCATCTGGAAGAATCTAGAAACGACGCTTGCGAAGAGTATATAAGCGCACGTCGCAAGAAGATTCGTGATTAGTGAAATTCGTGATTTTGTCATTTCGTGAATAGCGATTCCGTGAATTATTTAAAGCGATATTTGATTTGTTTGTTGACGTTGTCATAGCGATAGATTTTAAACAATTTAAAAGTTAATTGTTGCGTTAATTTGAATTTGCTAGAAATAAACGATTAGTTGATTTCTTCTGTAAATAAAGTTTAATAACGAATAACTGTTTGGAGTATTTTATTCAATCGAACATTTGAACCCGTTGCATCGTAAATCGGTTACGACAGCGAGTATTATAACAGTATGTATTTATGTATGTATGTATCAAATCAAATCAAATTTTATTCAATCAATCCAAATTAATAATAATTAGGTAATGATTAGGAGACCAAAGCTAAAAGAAAACAAAATTCTTGTGTCGCAGGCCACCGTTCACAAATTGTTCATTCTAACACAATTTTTATGTAAATTTATAATTCATGACAAAATTAACATATTGCACAATTTACATGATTCTAATTAAATAAAAATTGTACTTTTTTTCAATAAATATTTCTTTATTTTGTTTTTAAACAAATGCAAGGAATTTGTAGTCTTTATATCAACAGGAAGTTTCTCCCAGATTCCGGAACCGGTATGTTTTAAACTTCCACCAAGCAGTGTTATTCTTGCAGGTGGTGTATAGAGCAGAGGAGAATGTCGAGTGAACTTTGACTGCACAGCATTTCCGAATTTGAAGAAGTCATTAAAAGATGTTGGTAATTGATAATGTAGGAACTTGAACACAAAGACAGAAACATGATAATTATACAAACTTTTTATGTTTAAAATTTTCAGTTCAGGATAATAACAGCTGGACTATATGGATGTAGATTTAATAGAATTTTGATGAAACGATTTTGACATCTGGTAATTTGCTTCAAGTGAACTACAGGGCTGTTTCCCCAGATGATGTTGCAGTATATTAGATGTGGATAGATTAATGAATAATACAAATCTATAATTATTGGTTTATTCAATCTTACTTTAATTTTATTAATTACGCCTATGGTTTTATTAATTTTTTTCGATAACGAGTCTATATGCATATCCCACGAGAGGTTGTCCTTGATTATCACTCCGAGAAATTTTGTGCTGGATGTACGCGGGATGCTATGGTTATTCATTTTTATATCTAAATTAGGTATTGTGTTAGTCAATATTTTTGGACCGAATAGAATGTAGTTGCATTTAGAAAAATTTACAATTAGTTTATTATTGATGAACCAATTTGAAACATCATCTAAACTTTTATTAATTATCTCTACATCGTTTGATGGATTGCTAGTTGGGAAGAAAATGTTAGTATCATCTGCATACAGAAGATGATGAGCGTCAGTAGCCAGATGAAAATCTTTCATAAAAATTATAAATAGAAGTGGGCCTAAGATTGATCCTTGCGGGACTCCTGAAGTTATATTTAATTTATTTGAAGATTTATTTTTTATCGACACATACTGATTTCTGTTTTGCAGATAGCTTATGAACCATTTATGTGCTATTCCTCTTATTCCATAGGAGTATAATTTCTTTATTAATATCTCATGATTAATAACATCAAATGCCTTGGACAGGTCTATGAAAACACCTATGGTTACGATTTTTTTATTCAGATTATTTAATATGTTTTGTACTAAATGTAGTACTGCTAGTTCAGTTGAATGTTGTGCTTTATATCCATATTGATTTTTATTTAATAAATTATTAATATTCAAGAATGAAGTTATTCTGATAAATATAATTTTTTCCAGTACTTTAGAAATAGGTGAGAGAAAGGATATTGGCCTGTAATTGCTCATTTCCATCTTGGATCCTTTTTTATGAATAGGTATTATCTTGGATGTTTTGAAGCATTTTGGGAATATTCCTTGACTGATGGACAAATTGAATATATGTGTTATTGGATGTACAATTTCTGAGATGATTTGTTTTAAGAGATAATTACTTAATGAGTCATCAGAGGTGCTTTTTTTATTGCTAAGATTCTTGACGACTGTTAATACCTCAAGTTCATCAGTGGAGTTAATGTATATGGATTTACAAATGTAGTTGTTTATTTTTGAAGATTCATTAACTGTTTGATTTTCAAGCAAATTTTCAGTAATTTTAATAAAATATTCATTGAAACAGTTACACATTTCTTCTGCATTATCGATTATATTATTGTTGACTTTTATTTTATTGATATCATTCAACTGTTGATTTTTATTCATTATACCATTTATTATCTCCCACTTTTTCTTTGAACAGCTTTTTGCATCATTAAATCTTTGACTAAAGTAATTTTTTTCTTCCTTTCTTTAAATGATGTAAAATAATTTCTGAATCGCTTATATTTATTTATATTCTCTGTAGTAGGTGTTGAAATTGTTTTTTTATAGAGTTTATTCTGTTTCTTTGATAATTTAATTATTTCATCACTTACCCATGGCTTTTTATTTTTCCGTTTCAGCGGTTGCAATGGGGCGTAAATATCAAGAATTCTATTTAATTGATTATAACAATTCATGCAACAGGTGTCAATGTTACTCTCATCCGTTATTGAATCCCATTTTTCAGAAGATAGAGCTTCCTTGATTAGGGAAATGTTTCTCTTATTTATGTTCCTTTTCAAAGTCAGAGCATCGGTAGTGACAAATCCTGTATTTTCTACAACTGTATAAATTGGATAAGGATCTGAAAAGTCTGATATTATTATTCCATTAAAACATTGTTGATTTAAGTTAAAAAATATATTACCTATTAGTGAAATTGAGTTATTAGTTATTCTAGTTGGTAAATCAATCAAAAGTAAGAAGTAATGCGACAAAAGTAAACTTTGAAAATCTTTGGAGGTTTTATCCATTAGATTAATGTTAAAATCTCCGACAATGAAAATTTTATCAAGTGGATTTAGACTATTTAGTATCGATTCAATTTTTTCTAAAAAAGACTCATATTTATAACTAGGTGGTCGATAGATGGCAATTATCTTGATCATGTTATGTAGTGAGGCTTGATGCAATTCAAATTCCACGCAAAGTGTGTCAGCGTTGTCATCATCGAATATGTTGCTTTCATTTACAACATATTTTACATCATCTTTTATAAACATTCCAACACCGCCACCACGTCTATTTCTTCTATTTTTGTATACGAAATTGTAATTATTTAATTTAATTAAATCAGCCGTTTCATCGTTTAACCAACTCTCAGATATTACAATAATTTTGAAGATAAAATCAAATTGTTTCAACAAGATCTCTGGATTCAATAATTTGTGAAACAGACTACGAGCATTTAAATGTAATATTGAGATAAAATCACAGCCGATATGCTTTTGTAATTCTAAGATATTTTTAGAAAATTCCTCAACAGTGTAATAATTTGAGTCGTTGTTACTGAGGTGTTTATCTGATATATTATTATTGCTTTGTGTGTTATTTATCATGTTTTTGTTTATTTATTAAAGTTACTTCATTTTTACCATCAATGCTAATTTCATTTTTATTCTTTTTGTCAATATTATTATTTGGTTTGAAGACCCACTCACGAATGATTGTGTCCTCATCCCAGAGAGCAGAATCTGTGAAAGTGCTATCTGAATTATTGATGTCAATACATATTCTGAAGCCTTTTCCCAGATGAGACTTTGCCTCAAAACAACTGATTACTTTAAATTTATTTGTTTTCAAGTATTCTGTCAAAGTTTCATTATTGACTGTGACAGCAAGATTACTTACAAAGTAAACTTTTTTTTAACAATTGCCCCAGCTGATTTGGGACACATGCCAGTGCTGTTGGTTCCTCTAATGTTTTTAATTTGACGTTTCTTTTTCGAAACAATTGAAAAAGGATTTTCTTGTTGAATTGCTGATGGAGACTGATGTTGCTGATGAGTAAGAGGTCCTATGTATGTATGTATGTATGTATGTATGTATGTATGTATGTATGTATGTATGTATGTATGTATGTATGTATGTATGTATGTGTGTGTGTGTTTGTGTGTGTGTGTGTATGTGTGTGTGTGTATGTATGTATGTATGTATGTATGTATGTATGTATGAACCCATAATTGATTAGAACTATAGGGAAGTAATAATCATATCCGGTTTCAGCTTTAATCTATGTTAAACGCTTCGCACAGACAGGTATTTTAACGCTCCATCCAAAATACAGAAAGAATTATATTTTTGAAATAAAATAGAAAAGGATTGCTTTATATAACTCTTATCTAATGGGTCACCCGATACTTCTACAATCTTGCTACAGAATTCATTCAGAAAAC